CCTTAATGGGGGTTCCTATGAAGAGCCTTTAGTAGTATTGGGTCCCAAATTAGGGGTTCTACTTTCCAGATCCTCCCGGGGGTCTGGGAACTAGGGAAAGTCCGAAATTTGTACACCATGAACTCCAAACCTAGACCCTACACCCTAAACCCTCGACAAGTCATCAAGAAACCCTAGGAATGATCAGGAACGACCTAAGCCCGTCAAGCCCCAAGCCCTATGGGGTTTAGGGTTTAGGGTTTATGGTGAGCCCAAAACTGTAAACCCTAAATCCTACCTGAAGCCTCAACCCCCAACCGTCCCAAGGCTCTAAGCCCAAAGCCCTTACATCCTAAAATGAGCTCTTGCTAAGGAGTTTAATTGAATAAGGAAACCCTATTATGTACTAAGACCCCTGTTAGGGTAGCTGAAAATAAATCCCTTAACAAGAAACCCAGTAAATCAGCAGTCCTGGATCCCAGTTGGGGGTTCCCTGTTCTGATCCTTCCCAGCCACATCATGGCCGTAACGAAGGCTAACCTCAAAGTGGGATTCTCGGCCTAAATCCTAAAACTCGTTTAGGGCGTAAGGTTTGGGGTGCTGAACTTTATGTAATTGCATTCTGGACTCCAGTGACGAGCACCAGGAAGCACCCGTTTCTCTTTGGCGTGGCAGTTTCCGCGCTGAAGCACCTTGGTCAAAATTCAAGCCTCAAACCGAAACCCCAAGACTTTGGCCAAGAGTTTGGAATTAAAACCCCTAAATCCAGATTTCGTTGTTTTTCTGGCGCTTGTAGGGCCGAAACCCGAAATGCCCGAAATCCTTTGTAGAGCCCTGCAGTTCTTGTTTTGAACCCTGGGGTCGCATTGTAGTTTCGGGCTTTTCCCTTGGCTTAAGCAGGCCATTCGCGGCTGGTTCCAAGTACCAAGTTCTCAGGTCTTCCGGCACCTAGCGACTCCAAAAGAGCTTGATGCAGGAAGCTACCTGAAACTACAAGGGGGTTCTGAGATACGCTGCAAGGTATATTCCGTTTTTGGGAGGTTTTGGAGTCTCTGGGTTTACCCCAACCCCAAAATCCAAGACCCTGCGCCCAACACTCAAAATCGTAAGCTAGCAGACCCTACATGTTAGAGTTAGAGCTTCCTACGAGTACTTAGAGGGTCGGGGGACTTAGTACATGGTTATTTTATAGACTTATAAGTACTATAACCCCAATTAGGGTCCCTTTTAGGGTACGTATAAGTCTACTTAGTACCTACTTACTAAGTCTCCCGACCCTCCAAGTAGGCCCGGTTTCTCCACGCACTTGAGAGTTCTTGCCGGGTTCACGTTGGGTGCAGCGTGCGGTGTTTAGGGTTTAGGGTTTAGGGTTTAGGGTTTAGGGTTTAGGGTTTAGGGTTTAGGGTTCACGGTGTCCCAAGGCCCTACTCGGTGTACTAACAACCTGGATCTGTTCATGTTAGGGTTTAGGGTTAAGGGTTTAGAACCCGAGTGACTTATAACTGGGTTCCCGGTCCTCGTCGTGTGCTTCTGAATCTAGTGCTCTCCCGCTTTGATGTCCCTTGTCGGAACCTAAAAGCTGTTACATAGCCGAAAGGGAACCCTAAACCCCAAACCCCAAGCCCTAAACCCTAAACCCTAGACCCCAAAAATTAATGGAGCCCTGATAGACCTACCGAAGTTTGCATACAAGGTAGTGCTCCCCTTTAAGAGAGGACCTTGAGAAGGAGCCTAGTGTAGAGAACTATCCAAAAAGGGGCTCGTAGGGGTTCAGGGCCCTAAACCCCTCTGTGCTCAACCCTGAAAAGGCCCCAAACCCAAAATCCTTACCCTAAACCCTAAACCCTAAACCCTAAACCCTAAACCCTAAACCCTAAACCGCCCCGGATCTCGAGCCCGAAGGACCAGTACGTCAGACCTCATGGCCCAGAAATTCGTCGAGAGACGGGAGGAGGTGCGAGAACTCAGGTTGGGGATCTCCAAAGTTGGGAGCGTAGGATTTAGGGTTTAGGGGTTTAGGGTTTAGGGTTTAGGGTTTAGGGTTTAGAGTTTAGGGTTTAGGGTTTAGGGGTTTTGGGGTTTATGGTTTGGGGTTTAGGGTTCAGGTTCGTAGGTTTAGAGATTTAGGGTTTAGGGTTTACGGTTTGGCGTTTGGGGTGGGTTTGGGGTTCGGCGAGCCTTTCGGCCCTAAACCCTAAACCATCCGGGCTTCAAGGCTTTGAGCTTCGGAGTTGCAATCTTCAAGGTCAGGAGTTTAGGGTTTAGGGTTCAG